GCGCGCTTCGCCGTTACCTGGGGCCGTGCGGGTAGATATAGCAGTGGGGGCCAGCCAGGAGCTAACCCAGATGGACCGGGTCTGGCCTGTGGGCTGGTATTTGCCCACCCCTGTCCTGCCTAGATTAAGGCTAACTCAGGTGCATCTACCCTGGCCGCAGTTGCCCCTCCTGGTTGCAGCGCGGCCGTTCCCTGCGCGTGGGGGAGCGGCCCCGTCCTGCAAGCTGAGTTGTCGGCTCCCCTGGAGCCACGAGCCGCCGGAGGCTGAGAGCTCCCGGCTGGAGGGCTCCGTAAAGGGACACGGCTTTGCTTTTCTTCCCTAGGGTGAGCCTCCCGCTAAGAAATCCAGGGCCAACCCTCAGGTGTACATGGACATCAAGATAGGAAACAAGCCGGCTGGCCGACTCCAGATTCTCCTGCGCTCGGACATTGTGCCCATGACGGCGGGTGAGAGCCAGCGCCTCTTCGGGCGAGCGGTCGCCTCTAGCGTCCTTGCTGGCATCCTGAGCTTGGGTTTTGCTTTCTTTCCTCCCCCTCCACGCAGAGAATTTCCGCTGCCTGTGCACCCATGAGAAGGGCTTTGGCTTCAAGGGGAGCAGTTTCCACCGCGTCATCCCCCAGTTCATGTGTCAGGCGGGAGACTTCACCAACCACAACGGCACGGGAGGCAAATCGATCTACGGGAAGAAGTTTGACGACGAAAACTTCATTCTGAAGCACACGGGGCCAGGTAAGGCCGGACCCTCGGCGCGGGAGCAGGCTGGCTTCCTGGGGCAGCTTGGGCAAAGCTCGTCTGGGGCAGATGACTGGAGCGTAGAAGGTTTGGGGGTGACTGAGTTCACTACTGGGAAACGGTGCTGGATTCTCCGCCTTCCGAGGTACGTCGGCCTTGGGGTAGGGCAGCATGCAAAGTACGTTCGCTGCTCCTCCTCCACACGGGCAGAAATAGCAGTGCAGATGCTCAATTTTTTTTTCATCTGTGTGTGGCATTGTGACGTAGTGCGGGTACCTTGCTGGTTGCTAGGCTTGGGCTGTGGGTGACCCCACTGGCTGCTGTCTGTACCACGGCCCAGCAGAGTAGCTGATGGGTCAGGTAGGTTACCTGTTCGACTGGTTACCTCCCAGGGAGAGGAACAAAGGGAGGAAGGCGGAGGGCAGCCCCTGGCTGGGGGGCAGGGCTGGAAGTGGGGCAGTTTCTGTCTGGTATCATGGAGGAAGCAGCCTAAGCAAGGGGCTGGGATTTAGGGGCTCAGTCTCCCCCATCTCAAGGGGGCTGAGGCATCCTAGGCCTGCCCTGTAACCAGATGACATCTGTGCTGCGCTGTATCCTGGAGAAGCAATAAACTCCCTCTGTTCTACTGGCTGGCGGAGTCTGTTCGTGCCACTACCGGGGTGCAGGAGTCGGGGGCCCCCCGCCGCACCGTCACAGGAATACATTTTGTGCGGTGCGCTGAGGCATATGTGGATGTGCACCACAATAACAGCGTTTTGCCCCCAGGGTTGTTATCCATGGCAAACTCTGGCCCCAACACCAACGGCTCGCAGTTCTTCATCACTTGTGACAAAACGGACTGGCTGGACGGGAAGCATGTGGTCTTTGGAGAGGTGACGGAAGGGATAGAGGTGGTGCGGCAGATCGAGGTAGGAGCGCGGGAAGCAGGCCAGGGGCATTTCCCACGGTGTTTCTCTGGTCTGACCTGGCGATTTGTCTTTACTTCCGGTTTCATTTTTCTTAAGGCTCAAGGCAGCAAGGATGGGAAACCCAAGGAGAAAGTGATTATCTCAGACTGCGGGGAGTACGTGTGAGCCCCTGTCTGGCAGGAATCCGGACGGAGTAACCAGATGAGGCCGCGGAGGCTGGAAGTTGTTCTGAATAGGGAAAAAACTGGAGACGACCAGGGAGAAAAGTCACCGTGGGACTCTCCAAGTCGCCGTTGCTGCAGAGTTTCTTTAGGAACGCCCACGCTGGCTTGGGTTGGTCCGCACTAGGCTCGTCAGTGGATCCTTTTCCACCCATGGGATCAGAGGACGATTCCTTTAAGAAGCTGGAGCGGATCGCGGATCCTTCCTCTGCGGGGCCTCACCAGTCTGCCAGTCTTCTGCAGAGACTTTGTACTTGTTTAAAATAAACTGGAGCTTTGATAAAATACCGGAAACGCGTCTCTTACCTCGGCAGTCTCACAGTGGTGGTGTTTTTAGCGTGCAGACCACGGTACGGTCTAGGTCGGCGAAGTCCAAACAACAGTCACCGTCTCGGAGAGCTACCCGTCTAAGGAAATTGTTGTCCTGGGAAAGGCTGGAAGCAGCAGCGGTCCAGTCGGCCTTGGGTTTTATGGAGTTAATTGCAGACCCGGCTCGGCCAGCTGCTTGGGGTTCGTGCACTTTGTTGCATGCAAGGGGGTGAGTGTGTTGAATGGCCTTTCTAGCCGACCTCCGACGTCCCCGCCTTGGTTTCCCCTCCTGTAAAATGGGGACTCCTGATACTGACAAACAAGCATCGTAAAACGCTTTCACATCTCGGGATGCAAAGAGCCAGGCAGTGTCAATCTAATTCCCGGCCATGGCGTAGGACGGCCCTTTGCACTTTGCCCTTTACCCTCCCGGTGTTTTGTCTAATGCAGCAGTTCTCAAATGTTTTGGCCCACGGCCCACCCCTGTGCAATGCAAATCTTTCCACAGACCACCAGCCAACTGCCCTGATGACAAAATGGATGCAAAAGCAGGCTGGGGATGGGCGATCAAGCCAGGAGGTTGGGTGCAGAAGTGGGCTGAGGGTGCAGAGTCTCTGTGTGTGTGTAAGGGGGGTGAGAGTGTGGGGTATGACATCAGGGAGATGGGGGAAGCATTTAGGTGGCTCCACACACCTCCAGGCACTGCCCCCTGCTGTTCCCATTGGTTGGGATTCCAGCCAATGGGAGCTGTGGGTAAGCCTTCAGGTGAGCAGTTTTCTGTGTTGCCATTCCTCAAGCCAGTGGGAAAGGGAACAACAGCATCTGGAGCCACTTCCTGCCCCCCGCGAGTTGGATCTGACCTATGAGGCTTGGGGGCTCACTCTAACCAGCAGGTAGCCAGTGCTGGTACTTCAACCACTTGGGCCTGCTCTGAGTTTGCGGCCCACCTGCAAGACAGTCACAGACCACTAGTGGTCCGTGGACTACTTTGAGAGCCAGTGCCTTATATTATTTCCCCCATCCCTGCTGTTTGTGGTGAAACAGTATCAAACTTGATGGAAGAATTTAGTTTCTCTCTATAAAATATTTTACTTTATGCAGAGTTTAAAATACAAACCCACAGAATTGCAAAGTATTTTTATGTTACCCAGAACATTAGAATTCTCTAAGCCAATGAACTGCTACATTTCCTGCCCTCCCAAAGGGTATCTAGCATCCTCTGAAGATAAAGTCTGGAAACGTGCCTCCTCCGAGAGCGGGGCACTGTGCGTGGTGCCAGGCGAGGGCACGTAACGGGGGGGACGTTCCCAGGCCCGTGTGAAAGATCATAGCGCTCGGTCCGTGGGTCTGTATCAGCCCAGGGCGCCTGCGCACTGAGCTGCTCTCTGAGCTGCTCATTTACCTTGCAGGTCGTTAGTCGGGGCTGCCATTTGCATGGCAAGAAAGGAACCTCAGTCTCGCCTGCGGTGCGGAACTAATAGCCGCGGGCCACCTCGGAGCAGAGAGCAGCGCGGCATAACGCTGAGGTCTGCGCAGAACCGTTTTCTGTAACCACCCCGGCTTCCCCTTTCTGAATCCAGTCAGTCGCCGGACACGGGAAGGGGGTTAAAACAGTTGTGCTTTAATCTCTTCATTCCAGACTCACGCAGGACCACAGCGCGTTTCGTGTCATAGTCTTCATTCCAGACTCACGCAGGACCACAGCACGTTTCGTGTCATATTAACACAGTGCTCTCCCTCCCCCACCCTGCAACTATGAGAAGGCTAAACCGCACAGGGGCCTAAATCGGCAGCCGGGGTCCTCAAATGAAGAGAGGCAAGAACTAAAAGCATGTTCCTAGGCCGACGCTGTCTTCCATCGCGGCTCTTCACGTACACTCATGGCCGGCTGGTTTTTTTGTAAAGCAGTTGTACATCATCAGGGGTTGCGCAGTATTAACCTCTAGGTGAGCCCCGGAGCTTAGGGCAGTGGGGTGTTCTGAGCTCAGAGGTATTGACAGCGCTTTCCGACTAGGACAGGAGAGCGTTTTAGGCCCCTAGGAGTCGCCCGAGTGACTCAGAGCAGAGGCCCCGCAGAGCTGCAGACCGGGGCCAGCACTGGGTGCTGCAGAGAAAAACCTTGGCTGATTTTAGGATGACAGGAGAGTCACTTGTCCCGCACGTGAGGGCTTGAATAGGATTGGGGGTTAGTTTGTTTATGGCAAGGCCGTTTCCCCAAACAGGGGAGGTCCTTCCTGGTCTTTGGGCCAAACCCTGCGGGCCAAGCGAGACCCAGAGCAGTCAGCAACTTTCAGAGGTCGGAGCAGGGCAAGGTGGGCGGTGGCTTAGGGCCACTGGGAAGGTGCAGGGCCAGGGAGCGAGGCTGCCTCCTGCTGGCTCACCCGTGCCTCTGGCATCGTGGTTGCACTGAAGCCTCCATGGGAGGGGGGAGACAATCCCAGCAGCCAGTAACACGGCTTGGCGTAGCGGTGCTGAGGGGCAGCAGGCAGAGAGAGCAGCTGCCTGTCGCACCATCGCCGGTTACTGCCACCCATCGTCCGACCGGCCTTTGCTCCAGTCGTAGACTCAGCAGGGGGTCAGGCTGAGCAGGGGTGGGGCAGCCCCAAGGGCCGCTCCCCTTCCCCAAGAGAGCCGGGGAGAGACTGCGAGCTGATTTGGTTGCGAAATAACCCCCCCTCCCTCAGCCTGTCATGTTGTGTGTCATTTGGCCCTTAGAATGCTGCAGTATCCAGGGGCAACCACCAGAGGGCGCTAAATGCCTGACCAGTGCACACCTGTCCAGGCAACACCTCTCTAGGGCACTGCCTGGGAAAACACAAACCCAGCACCAAACAGCCCCCGGGCAACGTCTCCCCAGCTGTGATCCACCTGCCCTGGGCACCCTCCCTAACCTGATTCCAGGCCACTCAGGCTATGTCTACACTCGCAGCTTCTTGCATCAGAAGTATGCAAATTAGACTAAGCATGGAATATCGCCAAGCCTCATTTGCATACCTAATGAACCACCGTTTTTGCAGACGCGGCTCTTGCACAAGAAAACCCCTCGTGCGCAACCAGCTGTGATCCACCTGCCCTGGGCACCCTCCCTAACCTGATTCCAGGCCACTCAGGCTATGTCTACACTCGCAGCTTCTTGCATCAGAAGTATGCAAATTAGACTAAGCATGGAATATCGCCAAGCCTCATTTGCATACCTAATGAACCACCGTTTTTGCAGACGCGGCTCTTGCACAAGAAAACCCCTCGTGCGCAACGCCACTACGCCGATTCTTTTCAGGACGAACGGCATTGCCCAAGAGGGGTTTTCTTGCACCAGAAGGGGCAGTGTAGACACCTCCTTCTGGTGCAAGAGCCTCTTCTACAAAAACAGTGGTTCATTAGGTATGCAAATGAGGCTCAGCAATAGTCCCCACTTAGCCTCATTTGCATACTTCTGCCACAAGCCGGCGCTAGCGTAGAGACAGCCTGGGAGCAGGCGAACGTGTGCTACGAAATAAAGGGCAAACAGGAGGAACGGTGCAGTGGGCTGGGAGCACGCAGCTCTGCCGCTATAGCCAGACCAACCCAAAACCCCTCACTGCCGTGGCCCCCAGCGGAGGAGACCGGCACGCCCCACATTCCCCTCGCACACCAGAGCCGGCGGGGCCCAGGCTAGTAGATTTCTGTGTGCTCCAGCCCTGTGGGCGGGGGGTTGGAGTACCGGCACACGCTTCCCAATTCTGCAGGCTCCTCTTCTACAAAAACAGTGGTTCATTAGGTATGCAAATGAGGCTCAGCAATAGTCCCCACTTAGCCTCATTTGCATACTTCTGCCACAAGCCGGCGCTAGCGTAGAGACAGCCTGGGAGCAGGCGAACGTGTGCTACGAAATAAAGGGCAAACAGGAGGAACGGTGCAGTGGGCTGGGAGCACGCAGCTCTGCCGCTATAGCCAGACCAACCCAAAACCCCTCACTGCCGTGGCCCCCAGCGGAGGAGACCGGCACGCCCCACATTCCCCTCGCACACCAGAGCCGGCGGGGCCCAGGCTAGTAGATTTCTGTGTGCTCCAGCCCTGTGGGCGGGGGGTTGGAGTGCCAGCACACGCTTCCCAATTCTGGGGGGGCGGGCCTCCAGGGGCGCATCTAGGCAAG